CTCCTCCTCAATCCTCTTCCTCCTCCTCCTTTTCTTTCCTGCTCTCCCTCTCTTTCTCTCTATCTCTACCTCTCTATCTCTACCTCTATCATCATCTCTATCTCTGCACCTCTATATCTCTATCTAATTTATCTCTATCTCTATCTCTTCTATCATTCTCAGTCCCCACCTCTCCACTCCTTTTTCCCCCTTCTGTCCCAAAACAAGGACTTTCAGCTTAATAAGAAGGGAAAGACCCAGCCGATACCTGTTGGATGAGATAGAAGGTGTCAGCCCTCCATTAACATCCTGAATCATCCTATGAGCAGAATTCCTAGCCTCAGGCCCCCGTATGTGTTCCCCAGATCTGCGTGCCCTGCCCACCTTCCTCTAACCACAGCCGTGTCTGTCCCCGACCTTCAGAGTCTCGGGGAGATATTCTGGCCTTTCCAGTCATAAAGAAACGAACCCAGTGGATCTTAGGGCCATCTAGCCTGGGACTCCCACAGCTTCTCCTACCACGTTCCTATTGTCCGAATTCGGGGGGGCTGCCACTTCCCCCCGTTCGGAATGGCCTGTCTCTCTCTGGCTGTTGCCCTGAATTCTTCTGTCCTCACTTCACCCAGAAGCGAGGCCCGGAGCCCAGGAGGGGAAGTGGCACATGCTTTGTCAGGCGTGACTCTCCCATTTATCTCCGGGCCCCTCCCTGTCCTGTGCAGACAACCTTCGGGGTTTCGCTCTGTCCCTATTGTCCCTCTGTCGTTGTGCAACGAAGGACAAAGTGTCCCCCTTTCAAAGTATTTATTGCTTCCCCCGCGTCCTGTGGGGCGAGCAGCTGTGGATGACATAAAGCCGTTCCATAGAAAGGGCGTCTTATCATCCTTTTGTTTCCCATGAACTTCTGGGCGCACTCGGGCCAGGTCCCCGCCACCCTCTGGAGGGAACGTCCCAGTGTGTTTTTGCTTCGTCTGCGGTAACGCGGGCTGTCATGTTTACTCGGTGTAATCGGAGGCGACCTCTCATTTTTTTATTTTTATGAGTATTAGTATTGCCTGTTGGGCTCTGTTTACTTGAAAGTTAAACCCTGAGGTGGGGTAGCTGCTTTGGCAAACAAACCGAAATGACTCCGCCTGCAACTGGGAGAAAAGACATTTCCTTTGCCAAACACGGACCACCGCGTGGTGGGGTGGCTTCGGGCTCTGAGAGCGCCAGGGGGTGGGGCTGGAGTCCTGGGGTCTGATAGGATCCTCCCCAAGTACCTGTCACCACTAGGTGTCCCTTTGTTCTCATAAGATGGGAACTTGTGCTTCTGATGCAAATGCTTAAAAGCACTTAACTATGTGACAAGCACTCTCTCCACAGTCAAGATGGGAACAGGGCCTAAGAGAGAGGTTAAGAAACCAGCCCAAGGTCACACAGCTGGGAGATGGGAGAACCACATTCCTTTGCCAGAGCTAGCCTTTCCTGTAGACTTTTTTAAAAAATTGATTTCAGAGAGGAAGGGAGAGAGAAAGAGAGAAATATCAATTATGAGAGAGAATCATGAATCAGCTGCCTCCTGCATGTCCCCTACTGAGGGGGGAGGGGATCGAGCCCACAACCCCGGGATGTGCCCTTGGCCGGAATTGAACCTGGGGCCCATAAGCCTGCAGGCCGGCGCTCTATCCACTGAGCCAAACTGGCTAGGGCTCCTATAGATTTTTTTTTCTGGCCTCAATTAGTTAAAATACCTGTACATTTCTATAAATTGTCCATTTCCTTCGAAACTAAATAGGTAGCCACCTGTTCCTACTTTCTGTCTTTCTGTCTCTCTCTCTCTCTCTCTTTTACACACACATACAGGCACACACACTCACCCCCCAGATGCCTGGCTTCTGTCATTTTCTTCCAGCTCAGTTTGGTGATGAACACGATTCAAACAGCTCCTCCTCTGTCAAAGGCGCCACCCAATGCACCGCACTCCCTTTTCCTGTCTGGATGATCGGACTTTAAAAAGAATTTTAGAAGAAACACGCGGACTTTTCCCCTCTGTTTTCTCATGGGCAGCAATACAGAATACAATGGAGACGGCCAGGCGGCCCGATCCACACCGACTACGTGGAGCATTCAAATCTCCTTCTCTGTTTCCCGTGTCTTCCGGCCAGATCTTATCCAGGGATGTGGACCGCGTGAGAAGGATCACCATGGCGATTTGGAACACGCTCCAGTTCCTGAAAAGCTGCTTCCAGTGGGAGTCCACGCTGAGGAGCTCCATCGCGTTTGTGGTGAGCGACCTCTCTCAGGCTCATATTCGTTTCCGAGGCCCAAGTTCACGTGTAGAACACGGGCTTTATGTTAACTGGCGTGAAGCAAAATGCAACACAGAACCTCGTAACAGTTCACACCTGGAAGGAAACTGAAAAACCTAAATGGGCCCTGGCCGGTGTGGCTCAATGGTTAGAGTGCCGGCCTGCGGACCGAAGGGTCCCAGGTGCGATTCCGGTCGAGGGCATGTACCTCGGTCTCATGTTGGGTTCCTTTTCAGCCTCTCTGCCTCCACTTCCTCCCCGAGTTCTCTTACAAACTTTCCATGGAATGTTCTGGGCAAAAAAAAAGGAAGTCAACACCGTTGGTGGCTTCTTCCAGTGGGCACCCCGGCCGGCCTCTGCCAGGAGCAGAGCTTTTGCTCTTTCTCGAGCTGCATTTCTGGCACCGGGAGTTGTAGCAAAACAGCTCTGTTGCCCGGGGTCATGCAGGAGAGTGACAGCCATGATTAATGGGCTGCCGGGCTGATCTGAGGAAAGATTATACCCCAGGAGGAGGACCAGGTTGTCTTGTGAGGGGACTTCTGGTGGGGAGCGGAGCTTGGACGGGGGGGTGCATGGTCTGTTCCCTCTGCCGGGCCGTTCCCTGTGCAGATGCAGGCTGCCATGTCGCTCTCAAATCTCGGGGGCCTGCGGGACAGAAGGTAAAGGGGTGCTCTTCGTGCTCGGCTGCAGACTGATTTTGCAAGGATCCCTGGGTTCATGCGACTGTGGGAGGCCCCACTGTATGGGGGTGGGGGTAGTTTCCATTGGACAGCATTGAAAAAAGTACAGAATCAAGTAGGAATGATGCAGGCATGACCTCTCTCTCTGGGTTGTGCTGAAGGTACTGGGGTGGAAAGTGCTCACTTAAACACGCTTAGTTTTCAGTTTTAAATATATATATATTTTGATTGCAGAGAGGGAGAGGGAGAGCGAGACACATCAAAGATGACAGAAAATCATTGGCTGGCACACCCCACACTGGGGATCAAGCCCACAAGTCAGGCATGTGCCCTGACTGGGAATGGAACCGTGACTTCCTGGTTCATAGGTTGATGCTCAACCACTGAGCCACACTGGCCTGGCTGGAGGCCTTTATATATTAGAAACTAGAGGCCCGGTGCACGAAATTTGTGCACGGGTAGGGTCCCCAGGACTGGCCCACGATCAGGATCGATTTGTGGGGCATTTGGAGGGGCCCCTGCTGGCACCTCTCTTGGCTGGCCTGGGGCCTGTGGACTGGGGGCAGCTCCTGCATTGAACGTCTGCCCCCTGGTGGTCAGTGCACATCATAGCGACTGGTCGTTCTGCAAAATGGTTGATTTGCAAATTAGGCTTTCGTTATATAGGATTGAGCTGCGGTGTGTAAGGGCTCCCTCCACAGGTGTGAAGAGGACCCTTTGGGTGGAGCAGTCCCCAGGGGGCTTTTCCTTCCCCTCCAGGTCCTGGGAGTCCCACTAGCCCCACACGCTAAGGGCAAAGGTGTAGGAATTTTGTTCTCCCTTCTGTTTTGTCAGATAACATGAAAGAGCCTGTTAATATCATGTTAATGTCTCTGTTTTCAGATGACACAAAGCAAGAATGTTACAGGATCACGTTTAGTATATTCTGGCTGTTAATTTTAAAGACTTTATGAAAGCACACCATCCGTCTTCAAGATTCCTTTGGGTGTGTGTATGAATATATCATGTCTTGATGAAAGCAGGCATTGAAGAAAAACAGTCTGTTAAGACCTAGTCCACGTGGTGGCCGGTCAGAAGTGGATGGGCCGACATGAAATAGCTTTAATCTTGTTGGACGGTCCAAGCATAAACCTCCCCTACCATGGGGTCAGTCCTACCCCCATAGACATTGGGGTTGGATTCCCAATAGTAAGCGAAGAAAGTTCGCTTGAATTCTCTTTACTACACTACAAGTGTGGATGTTGCTGTATGCTGTTGAATTCGTTGTTATTGTAGGAAATTAAATTTGGGCTTTCTTAGAGTGGCCAGAGCATTCCAAACCACGCTTCTGCTGGCTCAATGTTTTTGTTAGAGTGCTGATGGGAAATTTTGCTCATTAGGTTTTTTAAGTCTTTCTCTTTCATCTACATTTTCTAGATATTTTTATGTCCTTTTCTGAGTTTTATTGGTTTGGTATTTTTTATATATATATATATACACACACACACACACACACACACACACACACATATATATATTCTCTCTCATCGATGTTTCTAGCTCTCTATCTCTCTCCCTTCCTCTCTGTAAAAAATCAATGAAATGTATTTTAAAAAGAGGTAATGTTGCATTGTGATATGGGCATTATAGAATCAATTATATCTGTGGGTGTTTGGGTTTGGTTTGGTTTGGTTTTCTATCGGGTACTTATATTTCTCACACCCCAATGTTATATGTTAAAAGACCCAAAGAGACATTATGGCATAAATGCATTAATTTTTTCATAGGACAATACAGCCTTCATTTGACAGATGGCATCCTCAGAAGATTATTTAAGAGAGCAAAGGCCCCCTCGTGCTGCAGAAAAGGGCTGCGTTTGTGTAGTTGGCTGTCCTGCCAGTCCCGCAGGCCCACACCTATTGCAGCCAGGGAGGCAAGTCTGTGGGGCATTGATAGATTCCTTGTTTTATTAAATTTTTTCTTGGACGTTTGATGTTAAGAAGTAATCTAAATCCACCATATATCAATGGGCATCTTCATAAAGCTGGGCTTCTCACATCTGTGACTTCTCCCTGAATGTTTTGAGTGCAGCAAAATGAAGAACGTATTCTTCAGAGCTGACAGGGCCTGTAATATGATGCTTAATTTAAAGCATCAATCACGCCCCCCCCCACTCACCCCAATAAAGTTAAAAATACAATTCTCAACTTTCTTAGTGATATCCCATATTTAGCATATTCAGAAATCTTCGTGTGTAGAGATCCCAGAATTTTGAGAAATGATTTCATATTAAACTTAGCCCTAGCTGGTTGGGCTTGGTGGATAGAGCATTGGCCTGTCCAGGGTTCAATTCCGGTCAGGGCACATGCCCGGGTTGTGGGCTTGGTCCCCAGTAGGGGGGCGTGCAGGAGGCAGTCGATCAGTGATTCTCTCTCATCATTGATGTTTCTCTATCTCTCTCTCCTTTCCTCTCTGAAATCAATGAAAGAAATATTAAAAAGAATAAAAATAACGTAAAAGCAAGAGCAGCAATAACAGAACTAACCCAACACACACATGCACACACGCACGCACACACGCACACACACACACACAAGCAGGGGGCATTTGGGAAACAAAAACATTTCTCTGTGTAACATCTTGTGCGTACAGTTTAGGAACAATTTTAATATGAAATCTTAAGGGTCGCTTGTCTAGGATCCCTTCCGTGGCCCAAGGAACACTAATGACAACATTAATTTTCAACATTAATTGAAAATCTGTTTTCAAATGGACTATTAACATAATGCTGGTCAAATATTTTTTTGAAGCCTTACATATTTGTGGGTTAGCTGTGTCTAAAAAATGTACCTTTTCTTTAAGTCCTATCACCAGTGTATTCGCAGCTAGATGTACCTGCCTTTGATTAAATTTCAGCGCGGTTTCTCCGTCCACCGGAAGTCACAGTCACATGTGCAAAGCAGACCTTGCTGTCTGTTTGGTAGGTGTTTGTGCAGTTGTAGCTCAAAGACTCACAGGATTTCCCTGAAGCTGAAAAAAGTTAACAATAATCACTTTCCCTGGAGGAGAAGACTTTTTTTTTATTTCAGAGAGGAAAGGAGAGGTGGGGAGATAGAAACATCAATGATGAGAGACAATCATTGATTGGCTGCCTCCTGCATGCCCCCACTAAGGATCGAGCCCACAGCCCAGGCATGTGCCCTGACCAGGAATTGAACAGTGACCTCTGGTTCATAAGTCAAGGATCAACCACTGAGCCACACCGGCTGGGAAGATATATATATATTTAAATAAATTTTTATATTTTTATTGATTTCAGAGAGGTCTGTCCACTGAACCAAACCAGCTAGGGCAAAATACTTTTAAATGCATACCTATATATGCTAATATGCAAAATATATAAATACATAAAATGCTTAAACTATTTGACAGCTTATTATTTGATTTATTTAACATTTCAGATGATTTCCCAAACTTTCCTTTCCACAAAGGACCACATTATATACTTTTCAAAATATGCTAAAGGTTTTTCTCAGCATTTTTTTCTACGAACAATCCATTATTGCAAATTGTGGTTATAATTTTTACAACATAATTGCACCTTCCATTGACAACTTCTCAGGCATTAACTAATTATGCCATTTAATAAAATTACAGTAATTGCATTAAAAGACTATCTGTTGAAAATGTAAAAGGAGAGTCTTACCTATTTGAGCATATTTTCATGTTTATATTTTCAGCTCCATAATTAAATTTTACTTCCGGACAGAATCGTGGCTCCACCGAGTAAAATCAGTTGGCATTTTGGGAGCGTCTTGATTTTGACCAGCAAGCGTTAGATCTTTATTTTATTTTAACCCCGGATTTTTTAATCCTAGGTACATGTCGATCTTCACATGGCCCCGTTAGATAAGAGGTGAATGGTTAATGCCCCGTTGTGTACTGTAGGTCCAGCCCTATATGGGAACCCTCTGTCACACTCATGCCAACCTTGAGTTTTCTGTTGGGATGCCAGCACACTTTCTGCTTTCTGTGCGTGGTCTGGTGAGGAGCCATGGCCTTCTGCAGGTTCCAGTGGATTCATTCAGTCTGGTTCTGCTGTGCAGAGAATCCCGACTATTGATCTGAACTTGATCCTGCTGTTGAGATCGTAAATGAAGAGAAGACTCCTTGGGAAGTCATGCCATTCCTTGACCCAGCCAATGCTTGGCCACTGTCCTCAGGCTCTGCCCTCTCCCTCCCTCCCTTTCCACAACCATTGTTGTCCAGCGTCTCATACACTGTGAGACACTGAGATACAAAGATGACATCTATGTA